AAAAAAAATGAAACATGCAAAATGTTTCGAACGCCCAGAGGAGACCTTGCAAAATGAAATTCATGAATGCAAATTACGTAAATACTCTTGTGTTGATTAATGTTGTATCTGCAGTTAGGAATTTATAGTATAATTTATTTTGGTTATTATTTTATATAAAAGTTAAGCAACGAATGGGTGATTTTTATATATTAACGAATGAATTTGTGAGATTCAAGTTAAAGCACTTAAAGCACTAAATTAGATATTGCTGTTTTATATGTAGTTATGCGAAATGTCATCTGTCACGTTATGTCAAAGTTGTTTTAATATTGTATCTACAGTTAGCAATTTATGGTACCATTTATTTTAGTTATTTTTTTTATGAAAGTTAAGCAACGAATGGGTGATATTTATATATTAACAAATGAATTTGTGAGATTCAAGTTAAACCACTCAATGATTAGATAATGTTGTTTTATATGTAGTTGTGCGAAATGACATCTGTCACGTTGTGTCAAAGTTGTATTAATATTGTTTTTACAGTTATGAATTTATGCTATAATTTATTTTGGTTATTTTTTTTTATGAAAGTTAAGCAACGAATGGGTGATTTTTATATATTAACGAATGAATTTGTGAGTTTCAAGTTAAACCATTTAATTATTAGATATTGCTGTTTTATATGTAGTTATGCGAAATGACAGCTGTCACGTTGTGTCAAAGTTGTTTTAATATTGTATCTACAATTAGGAATTTATGGTATAATTTATTTTGGTTCTTTGTTTTATGAAAGTTAAGCAACGAATGGGTGATTTTTATATATTAACAAATTAATTTGTGAGATTCTAGTTAAATATAGTTATGCAAAATGACAGCTGTCACGTTGTGTCAAAGTTGTATTGAAAAAAGTTATGCAACAAATAGGTGATTAGTACTATTTTCTTAATTGAATGACAGATTTCATATAAGTAATTTCCCTTTATTTTCATTTCTCAACAATTTAGAACGTTTTTGCTACGTTATTTATTACAAAGACAAATTTGACTGTAAATTAAAAAAAGTATGTGCTAATGTATTTTATCTTTCCGTGCTCGAATACAAAAATAAGTGGATTTGTGTGTCACCTCGAAGACGTCGCTGAGATGAATGATAAACAAACACTTGGCGAATTTCTCGCTCCATTTATATACCGAATAAATCCTGATTTAGACACTAAATTAAACAAAATGCAAAATGATGATAATTAAAACGAAATACAAAAACATATATTAAGTTAAATTATTATTACTTTCTAGATTTCATACAGATTTGGCTTGGTTTCTATGGCAACATATGTGTAATTTCGATTCGCTTAAACGAAACAAAAATGTCATAGCAACAATGGAATAAATAACATGTGAATCTATTATAATGACCGTGGGAGCTGCAGGATGGAAATCAGTCATTGGAACTTCGAAAACAACAACAACAAAAACAAAAACGGAAAACCACTTCTCAAATGGAAATTTCTTATTTTCCGCGAATTCATAGAGGAATTTTCTTTGGGTCAACAATTGAGTATACGGAACTTTACCTAATTACGCAACGCATTATAAAAACTACTAAAATTTTCATTGCTATTTCCAACGTTGCTTATTTAGATTCAATAGGAAGTAAACGTACAAAAAATTAATTAAATGAATATACATATTTCATTTTAAAAATAAAAAGCAAGTGTCAAAGTGACAGAAGAGAACTGGTTAAATGATCGTGAGAGCCGCTCATTTTACACGTCCGTCAGTGAATGAAAACAAAAGAAGTAAACACTTGAAATTCCTTTACTTTCATTTACAAAGAACGAATTTCTCTGCTCATATCTGCCACCGATCTTACGAAACAAACCCAATTTTTATATATATATATATTACTTCGAGGAACGCAATTAGATATGTTTTTGCTGATTTCAATCTTCTCTTAAGTAGTACATATAAAGAGTTTCAGACTACACCTAGATTTTGTTTTTATGAGACAATTCACTTTACCAGACGGATTTCCGGTTGACCATTCAAAATCATTGTTAGAACCATAAAAGACCCCAATTTTAAAAGACAACTTGACGTATTTACAACTTCTACCTGATACAAAGATTAATGAAGGTGCTTATTTTGGTGATGGACCACCCAGAATTTGTTTTTTTTTCTGTTACAATTTATATTTACTTTACTGAAATCATTTCTAGAAAATCTATTACATATGATTTCTTGAGAACAATTAAAAATATTCATGCAATTCTTTGTATGTTAATAAACAGATAATTATGTAGCCAATTGCTTCCTCCTTAGATAATCCGAACACGCTACATTCAATTACATCATTTTTCTTTTAATGCGAAGGTTATATCTGCTTATGTCACTTTTTATTTGACAGTTTTCAATGAACTGTCAAAAATTATTGAAAACCAGCAATTTTTTTATTGGTTATAATTAAAAGTAACAAGAAACCAATTATAGAATTATTGAAAACTGTAGTGGAAGAAAATGCAAATAAATGCTCAATTATAGTGTTATTGAGGATGATGATATGAAACAACGTTGAAGAGTATTGGCATTCGGAATCGATTCGAGCGAGAGAAACCGCGCTTGTTCATATAAGAATAAATAGGATCTGCAAAATACTTGGCATACTTTCATTTCAAAAGATCCAAATAGCCGCTTCACACATCTCGATAGCATTTATTTCATCGCCGCATTGTTTCTGCATTGCACTGCGTTTATCTATAAATACACATATTTGCAATTTAAAATTTACATTGATTTTCTTTAAATTTCTAACTTGTTAACATGCCTCAAATTATACAATCATTGTTATCGAAACTAATTTTCCAACAATTATGTAGTTTGAATACTGATTTGATCTCAGTATTTAATTAGAAATTAGTAAATTGGAATGCAAATTGACTTTACATTTTTTAACTTGTTAACATTCTGCAGATCTTCGTTAACATAAACAAATTATGTAGTTCAAACAACCAATTTAATTCTGTATTTAATTGGAAATTAGTAAATTATACATAATTATTTAGTGCAAGTAAATATCAGAGTTTCTTATTAGATATAAGTTATTGATGATGCTTTAATGATATAATTATGATAGACACAAATAACTTTCAATTAATTAAAATCTCTTAATATCAAATTTTTTATAAATACAATCGTATTACATGATGTCATGAAAGAAGCGTTTCAATTTTGTTTTACCGCCATTTTTTCAATTCTAGTTACGTCAGTGTTTATTTGACAGTTGTTTCAAGTTATGAAAACCATTAATTCTTCTATTTATTATAAAACGTTGTTATTTTGAAAGGATTCTTCATTTTCCAGATTTAAAAGTTCCACTTAATTTAGTTTTATTTAAGGAAATAATAAAAAAAGTAATTTTTGGTTAGTAAATTTACGTCACTTGTCAATCAGCTGTCATTTTTTGAAATTTTGATTTAACAGTCTTCCATGAAGAAAAATATATTAATATTATGTAAAATCAATACTTAATCAATATTTAATACTTGACTCATAATTAGATTGCTTAATTAATCTGATAATTAATAAATAATTAGTTTCTGTGGTTTCATTTAAAAGATATTTAAAAAATCAAAATGGTAAAGCTTCTTTTATGACATTCTGTAAACGAGGAGAAAACACGTCTTTGCTAAAACTAATTTTAATACTTCGTAAAGAATGAAGAAATTGTAATTAACATCTTAATTAGAATTTCCTTTAACAATAGTCAACACAAATTTGCAATATTTTAAATTACAAAACATAAAGGCTTGTAATTAAAAATATAATAAATTAACAAAAGTTTAATTTGCGATTTGCTAAATTTTCGTTCGGATCGTTTGATCACGTCATCGCAAAATCAAGAATGTTATTTACACTTCGAAAACCGTTCGATCCTCGACAATGGACCAATAGATTTAGTAATTAAAAACTTGTATTGTGTGATTAAGAAAATATGACGTGACGCAAACAGCAGCAATAAATTAAAACTTACAAAAGAGTAAAAAAATAATATATGTAAGTAAATATTCATTAACGATTCGCGATGTCTAAAGTCGTGTGCATCCTATTCGTATTATAATACTAAGAAGTAAATATTTATGTTGCGAAACGATCAAACAATCACCGACCGTTTCTTCTTTTCCTCGTTCTACGTGCGCCGTTTATACTGGTTTAATAGGTAGTCGGTAAACATAGATTATATTAGTGTACGGTTTTATCGTTAAACTTAATCCAAGGTTTTTCGTAGCAAGTGATTGGATTATGTATAGTTGCATTCGCGCATGAAAGTCAATGCTTTTGCCATTTTCCAAGCAATTTACAATATTAATATATAGTTATTTTGTTTTTAGAGAAATAACTAAAAACTTGTTTCTTTATTAGAATGTTATTAAATCATAACGCATATATTTTATAAATGAGCGCTAATTACATATATTATAGTAAACTAGATAATTTAACATATTTAATTAGGTTAAGTTAGATTAGGTTAGGTTGAATTTTGTTTCATTATGTCACTAAGTAAACTACTTTTTGTTCATAAAATACTTGTAAAACAATAGAAAACAAAACACTATTAAAATAAACGTCAAAACTAATTTTCTGCAAAACGAAATTGTGGTAATAAATTAAACTTTTGATTATTTTGTACAGTTGAAAAGAAACATTGAATTATTGAATATTGCAGATGTTTATGTTTTCAATTTTGAATTCCATTTGGAATTTTTTTTTCATAAACTTGAATTTTCTATTTGTAAGCAGGTGAAGTGTGATTTTCACATATTTAAGCCCTTTGATGACACTTAAAGAAAGTTTCCCTTTTTTTTTGAGGAATTCGTGTTAAATATTTGCATAAAATCATTTAGTTTAGGTGATTAAAATTACATCAACATAATATAGAAAGTTAAATTTTCGCACATTATAATTGAAGACAAATATCTTGATTAACATGAAATTAATCAATGTTTTGCATTTTGTTTACAGTGAAACATTTGATTATGGAAACGGACCCCGAGAAGGGCGTGGGAGAATATTCATTTGATAATCCAGGTTTCAAAGGTAAGTTTTAGAAATTATATCAAAAAAAATATAATCGGGGATTAATGCTCTTTGCATTGTAGATGTTACATTAACACCAGTAGAAACTGCTTTGGAAAAGTCGAAATTGGAATCACCTATGAAAACCAAATGGAACCAGTGGCCACAAATAGGTGTACTCTCCAGCAAAAACGAGAGGAAACGTACTTTTGATGATTCAAAACTTGAGGTAACCATAATTTGAATCAAATGCGAGAATTGTGTTGTTTATGAAGCTTTTGTAATTGTTAGGATCAAGAGAAAATAGTGTCATTGCGTAGCCACGATTTCACGGGTTTGGGCTTCAATATTTGCGGCAACATGAAAGAAGGTATCTTCATCAGGGACGTGTTAAATAAAGGGCCAGCATTTGAGAGTAAACTACTTAGTTCGGGTAATTATTAATCACTTTTTTTTTGTTGGAAATAGAGTAATTAATTGTGGTTTTATAGGTGATCGAATCACGAGTGTGACTATTGATTTCGAGCATATTGTTTACGAGGATGCTTTGGCTATATTGAGTTATGCAAGTCCTTACGAAGTTGTGATTTCTGCGAAGAACAAGAAAGGATTTGCGTTTTCCGGACCGGCGAAAGTACCCAGGCATTTGATCTTCAGGAGTTCTTCGAATGTGGATTTGTCGCATGTAAGATTATTATTTGAGTTGTTGAGATTTTGTTTATTAATTTGTTGATCATTTTTAGAAGAATAAACGCACGGCGCCTTTGGAAGAGAATAGCAGCGAAATCGATTCGAATTATTCCAGTTTGCAGAAGTCTAGGAGTACGGTGACGACTTTGGAGAGGACGAAGTCGAAATCGCCGAAACCGATGCCGAAATTGAATAAAATGAAAGCGGCGAAGCCAGAAACGCCTCCAAGAGTTGACAGCGAGTTGCAGAGGTCAGAGAATAAGCATCAAAAGTTTGGTATCAAAGTATTGCCTGCGGTGAACGTCAATGAGAGGAGCAATTTGAAGAGCACCGAGTTGCTGCAAAACGATAACAATTTGAACATTGAAAGCACGACGCAAAACGTCGATGAGGTGGACAGGAAGCAGCCGCCAATTAAGAAGCGCGAAAAGATTAATAAGGTTGTTGTTGAACCGCCTCAGCAGCAGCAGCAACAACAGCAGGTCGAAGACCATCAGTTCGATCGGCAGAACGTTTTAAATAGTTCGGGAATCAAACGTGACGAGAATAATATACCTCTCGAGATTCCTAACACGATGCTCTACGCCGCGGCGGCAGCTCGCAAGAACCGAAAGACCGTCGAAGAGGAAGATGTTAAATCGCCGAAGAGAAAAGGTAAAGCGCCTGCTCCTCCTCCAGAGAACAGAGCGGATGATAGCACTAATTACATGGACGAAGAGGAAGAGATGATCTCTTCATTATCATCGAACACGCTGAATAAAAGCGACGATTCCATCGAAAGGATGAACCCGGACGTCTCTAACGTCATCATCACCAGCGATATGAAAGATTACAACTCGGATTCCGATATAGAAGTGGATAATCAGTCTTCAGTGAACACCATAGAGTTGAATTCGAGCGATATAACTGTGCACCAGAGCGAAGAAAATGAGGATAGGCAAAACAGGAAGACTGCGAGCACCGGTGATCTGACGAAGATCAAATCGGGGAAGTCGAGCACTCTGGAGAGGGCCCAGAGTCTGGACATCACGGATAACGCTATGCCGACGTTACCCAAGAAGCGGAAATCCGGAAAATCGGTCGAAGATAACGATTCAAAAACGAGCTCGGATGAGAGTTTGTACCGGAACGCTATAATAAATAAAGAACCTCGCTTATCGTTGATACTCGACGGGTTAAACACTTTCCAAAGGAACAGATTGAAGAAGTCTTCGGAATGGGGTAATCTCGAAGACGCGATTTTGAGGCAGGACGAAAGCTCTGAAAGTCTCGGAGATCGCAGCAGCTTCGAAGATCTGAAAATTTCCATGGAAAATATAAGCACTGCAGATTTCGGGGCTAAATCCGAATTCGATGCTTTAGTCAGTAAAATAAATGAAATTAAGCAAGAAACCATCGATATCATCAACGGACAGGATAGGAGTTTAACGCAAATGAGAGCCGGCGAAGAGGTTTTCGAAGAGCTGAAGATCAACGACGAACCGATCGAAGTGGTGAAAACGGTGAAGAATCAGATCTGGCCGATATTCGAGAACAACGTGGAAACAGGCGAAAGGATTATGAAGCCCATGGAATCGTTCGAAACGAATCTCATCATTCCCGAAGATAAATACGAGGAAGTGAAAATGGATAGCATCGAAACGGTAAAAGAGGTGGTCTCCCATAAACCAACGATAACGCACGAAATCACCAAACCGATTACTCAAGCATCATCGAAAGAAATCGAAGATTTTCTGTTGGCCGAACGCATAGCAAACACGAGGAATTATGTGGAACGCAACGATACGAACGTTCCTGACGACTTGAAGGTCTCAAGGCATTCTTTGGAAAGTCTGGAACGTCAGAAAATTAACAACGATAATATTAGCAACATCACGATTCTGGAAACGTCTCAGCCGCAATTCCAAGTGAACATCAACGAAACCGAAATTAAATACGACAGCATTCCAACTAATATGGATAATGTAACTATCTCCACTCCGGATTTGATCAAGAACATAACCATTTCCGATACCAGTTTCGAATCCAACGCCGAAGTCACCGTTGATTGCCCCACGTCTTTGACGTTCGAAATAACAGGAGATTTGAATGATTTGACCAGTGAAATAGATCTGAAAGAACCGGATTTCAGTAGTATAAGCGAAATGAATAGGAAACTGGAAAGCGACTCGGAGAACAGCTCAAGTTTAACGTACATCACGGAAATACAGGTGATGACTCCGAATAATAAAGAGAGAAACGTGTCCGAGATTGAGATCGTTCCCAGTTTGGACGATGAGGAGATGCCCGATATGAAGAACCTCGACAACGAATTCGAGAATTACCTGAAGAAGTTCGAGCACAACATACAGAATTTCGAGCATAATATAAACAGTTTCGAGAAGACTATTCAGGATGTTGAGGAAACTGTTAAGAAGGATACGGTGCAAAGCACGAAGAGTATTGTAATCAATGATAAAGTGGATCCGGCCAAAGAGTTGCAGAAGGTTCAGGAGATCGTCGAGGAGCAGCTGAAGAAGTTACCGGAGATGCGATTCACCACGTCCAGTTACGAGAGTCAAATCAGAGCACCGGAGACGCGTCAATCGCAGATCGAAATTTTGAGATCGAACTTCGAGAAGCCCTCCGTTGCACCGAAATCGCTGAGATCCGAGGTGAGTCCGCCGAAATCTCGTATACCGGTTCTGAATAAGACGCCGCCGACGTCGCCGGAGCGTAGAGATTCGAAGATCTTGGACACGGAGCCGGACAAGGAACTTCTTGAGATGATGTCCTCGCACATTCCCATCAACTTGAAGCATCAACCGAAAGCTGCCGCGAGGAACATCACCGTAACATCGATCCGCACCAACTCCAAATTACCTTCTGGTTTACCGACTTACTCTAGTCGACCGCCAGTACCTCCGAAGAGGGGCGACAGCGAAGACAACCTCGTCCAAATCTCCACCAACGGCAGCACGGAAAACTTCAAGCAATGGGTTTTCAACCCGAACCATTCCTCGGTGACAAACATCACCGTCACCGACACGAAATTCAACAGCCAAAAATAAGTAACGAGATTTACAAACAACAAAAAATATGTAAGTTTAGGTGCCATAAGGGGAAGGAGATGAGAGAGAAAGTAATTGCGAGCAGGACGAAGCCAAATCGATCAAATCTTATATTAAATTGTACATCAATCGATTAGGATCAAATATTTTGATCCGAACCATTCGAATCGCCAATTAAATGTTTCCATTCAACTTCTATTATCATCTATTAATAATAATTTAGATCACGAAACCGTCCTGCAGATTACTGTAAATATTTTTTTTTATAAATGTGAAACAACAGCATCTATTTTCATATTCAAATGTATTTTAGTCATCTATTGTTTTTTCTTTCTGTTATATTTTTATGTACATATATTTAATTAATTAATATCTTTAAAAATAATTATTATTATCATAATTATATCAAGAAAAAAAAGGGAGAATATATATGGGGAATTATTGTTACTTACGAAAATCGTTCTGTACATAGTTTTATATATTTTTACATGTATACTTCTCAAATTTTATTTGTTGGCAATTGTTGATAGAGAAAATGTATTTAATTACTTGTTATTCCGTCATGTTTCTTGTTACTGTTATGAGCGCTCAGTAAATATTTAGTTGTAGTTGAATTAAGTATACAGATACACACAAACACACAGTTTTATATAATAATTTATAAATTGTATTTTGTTTTATTTTATATATATATTTTTAAAAAGTGAGAAGTGAAATTAAAAAAACCAATACAAGTTAATTCTGTTGAGCCTGTTTCTCGATTTTGCTAGCTTCGCTGCTCTGCAGCTGCTCCAGCGTTAACAAAGACACACCCAATTGATCTTCCCTGGTGAACGGTTGGGCCATCTGCCTCAACCAACGCTTCGCCATCTGCAAATTTTCAAATTTATTACTAATCTTACAAAAAAAGCATTTAAAAATCATCTTACCTGCATGGCTTCTTCTGTCGAAAGATTGCAATATGAATCCTTGAGATGTTCTTGGATCCATTTGGGCAATTTGGATCGTTTGTCTGATCTCGAGAAACGTTTATCCGCGAATATCATTATACCGTAATCAGTTTTACCGCGAATCGCTCTGCCCACGCATTGCGCTGCGTGTCTCATCGCATCGAAAGTCAAGAAATCGTTTTCTTTAATCTGCAACCAACATCAAAACATATTAGAAAATGATTTATAAACGCATTCAAGATTTATCATCGGTCGTAAATCAACATTGACGTGACATTAAAACTTTATAGCACATCGTACATCTTCTGCAAGGTGAGAAGATACTGCAATTAAATCTTAATCTCTCACCTAATCTATTATAGTACAAATAAAGTAAAATAAATTTAAAAAAATATAGATGATCAATTTTACCTGAAATTGGTCTCTCAAGTAATCCAAACGTGCTTTGAGAATTCTGGATTGAGTGTAGACATAAGGTATACCAAACATGAGAACCGCTCTTCCCAAATGATGATCGAAATCAACTCCTTCTGAGACTTTTCCTCGAGCCACAGACAAAAGTACAGCTCCTCTGCCCGATTCACAAGCCTAAAACCAACAGTTATTACTAATCTACATCAAGAAGTAGGAAGATAGTAACTTACCTTAATGTAGTACATCAACGCGAAACTGGTTTCTGCCGAATCCTGCGTCTCGATGAACAACAATTTGTAACGCTGCAAACTGTCGATGACGCCCTGATCGTACCAACTGGCAACCACCGACTCCAAATACAAATACGACGTGAAGAAACACACTACACCGTCAGGTACATTAGCAGCCACCTAAAGATATGCAACATACATATTTAAGTATCTTTCAATTTCAAATCAATAAATATACTTACTTCAACTAATAACTGTCCATAATTTCTAATCACAGCAATATCTTCACGCGTTTCGAATTTAGATGAAATTGCCACCTGATCGCTTCCCTTCGATACAATCTACAATAATCAATGGCATTTAAATAATGTGATGTAATATGAAAGAAATGTGACTAATTACCATAGGCAATAAGCAAGGTCTTGCTAAAGTCATTGTAAAGGAAGACATAATAACTGGATGGAAATTCAATATTTTTGGGTACATATCCAACGGTGAAAGTGTTCCAGAAGTTATGACCACCGTTTGAAATCTATCGAAAACAGGTTTTATCGCAATTGATGAATCCAGACAGCTGAAATATAAGAATTTATATATAAGTTGTGAAATATGTTGGCGATTGTTAATGAAGAATTACCTGAAATGAAGCACAGGATTCGAAACGGTTGGAGTCTTATCATCGAACGGTTCTACAATAATAGTAAAACCTTTGGTGTAAGTCGAGACTAAAGTGGCTAAATGCGTTATTAACACCAAAGGGCTGAAGTCAGTCAAGTCAGCTATTTCCAATGTTTTAAGTAGTGAAGACAATCTGTAATTAAAAATGATTTAAATCTAATATGAAATAATTGCAATTGATTAAAAAATACCTTTCTGCGCAGAAACGTAAAGGCTTCCTTTCTATGCACACTTTGGCTTGAACATCCCTGAGGAATCCGGCCGGAGATTCTTGCACGACGTGCTGCACCCGAAGCCTGGTCTTCAGGTATTCCAAAAACCTTTTGAGGAACGAAACGAAATGTTCCGCATTCCTGATATTACCGGGGACGACCTCTGGAGCATCAAGATAATGTAGATATAATATGAATTACAGCCGCTGCGAATAAGAATTATTACCGTTGAAGATCTCATCGGGTAGAACGGGATTCGCTAGAATGATGTCTGTGTCTCGGGCGGCGCTGGCCAACCGTAAACCTTCCACTAACTGATTGTACTCTTCCTGTAGTTTATTTTGATCATCCTCTCGCATTCTTCAAGAAAATAATACTTTCTAGTAAATCGTTGTTTAATATTGTAAAGATGTAGTTTACTTACTCGGCAACAGTTTTTTCTAATAATGTTATGTTTGCCGCGGATTTTTCAATGATTCGTCGGTTTATCTTTACGCTCATCGAATCTATGCAGACATTATCAATGTTATGAGCTTCGTCGAAGATTACCACAGATTCTTTGGACAACTCTTTTGATACGACATCGGCGATTTTTGGGTCCAACAAGTAATGGTAACTGTACACCACAATATTTGCATGAATTATCTAAAATTAATATACATTCTTATAACACTTGGAAAATATTAAATTTGTAGTGTTAACATACAGCAAATCTGGCTAGAAAATATGGACACCAATTCCTAGTCCTTCCATACATCTTCAAGTCATCAATAGTGTAAACTCCAAAAGGCATATTACTTTCCTTTCCATCCAAAGAGAATCCCTCGAAATACTGACAAATTGGAGAGGTCTCATCATAATTGTGCCTCTCCCTTATGTAACTGGCTGTCAGAGAATGGCATTTACTGTCCACTATTTTCCCTTCCCTCTCAGTGCTCACCTACACAATTGAAACACTCGTTCAAAGAAACCTGTCTTCATTAACAATCACAAACTCACCTCTGGATGTATGCAAAGGTTTTTCCGAGATGTCAACACAACACCCATCATGCTAGGATACTGACCATCTTCTTTTTCATAATAATCAAGCAGTTTCTTCAATTCCTCCATGACTTTCTCAATTTCTGGTACTGTGCGTGAGCAATAAATTAATTTCCTCACCATATGAGGATTCTCCATCATGTAAGCCACAATGAGAGATAGTAAAGTGGTTGTCTTCCCTGTGCCTGAGGGCATTTCCAGGAGACAATGTCCCTGCGAAACAAAAAAAGTAAGTTTTAAAATCTATTTCACACACAAAAAAAAAACAGAAACTTACCTTAGCATCGAGGGCTCTTTTGAGTTCACACATGTATGCATATTGCTCTGGATAGATGTAATCATAGGGAAAATACACAATTAGGCCGTCCACGCTTAACCTAAAAGTTTTAGAGGTTATGTATTTGTTTTGATTGCAATATAAAATTTCAAAAAACGTAATTAAATTAATTATCAGTAACAGCAAAAGTACTTACTTCATTTTATCTTTTAATTACTTATTTCTACTTGTTAAATCGTCATAACAACATGTAAACATCTACTGAATGGGATGTTTTCTCTTCTTGCTTGCAGTTTCCTCTGGTTTCATTCACTGTTTATGAATGAATGCAGAATTCAGTGGTTGGTGACAATGAATTAAAAAAAATATTTAAAAAAAAAACGATTCGTTAACAATTACAATTTTATTGTGCATATAAATTAATAGCTTGAAGCGTTATGAAGATGAAGAGTTTTGTTTAAATTTAATTTTAAATTTCGCGGTTTCGTTTAAATCATCACACCCTGACAACGATTCTATCGTCGTTTTGAATGGAATAAACGCCTAATTCTTTGCATTCATCTGCCAATTCAATTTTGATATTATCATGCAAAGCGCTCTCATAGATTAACGTAGGTCTTTCGGACAATTGGAACAGTTTTTGGGTCAACATGATAAGCTTTTGCACGAGTATAGTTGGTGGTAGCTTCTTGGAGATCACCCTGTCCTCATACACCAAATTGACATTGATCAACGATACCTGGATTATGTTCGATTGAACCTTCAGCTCAGATTCTTCAAGTTCTCCATATTCTTAAAACAGTTATAGAATTCAATGAAAATTATTAAAGTTGTGAGAGAAGACAACCCACTTTTCACCAATTCTTGATACCTATTGAAGCGTCTCAAGAAGTCCGCTCGGGTATCATCGTCATCTTTGAACTTCAACCACTCGATTCCATTGATTCTCAGATAATCGTATTCCGCGCCTTTTCTCTCTTCGGAGATAATTTGACCATCCAAAACCTACCAATAATCATTAGTATTAAGAAAGAATAGTTACCATATTTTTTACCATTAAATTAGCAATCCTAGCGATGATATACTGAGCGCAAGTATCGTAAGTGTTATGCTCGAAGATGGGATTCTTGATCAGCCTCAAATCAATCAAATTCTCGAGCTTATTCAATTCACCAACTGATTCCCACTAAAAACCATCAATTCGTTAATAACTATTAAACTATAGTAATTACACTTACATCATTAATAAAATTCTCTTTTAGGTAAAGCATTTTCAAATTTCTAAACAATTTCGATTTGCCCTCTTCCGGAAAACGGATTTCTTTGATTCCCGTAGATTCAACATTAAGCAATTCCAGATCGGGAAGATGTCCCAATTTGCAGATTTCCGACCACGACCCAATATCGTTCTGATCTATATGCAAAATCTTCAACTTTTGCAAATCCGAATCACCGATATCCAAATTCATTACATTATTCTTCGGTGCAATGAACTCTTCTAAATTGGGGAAATGCCTGGTCATCTTCAACAATCCTTCCCAATTCAGTTTCATTGATCCGCAAATCAACGTTGTGACACTTTCGTACCTTTCTTCACCATCTTCTATTGGATAAGTTAAAATATTTTCACTAAAATCATCGAGATGAGAAACGAAAAGCGTTATTGTTCCAATACATTTACCTGACGTTAAGTATTTTCAAAGACTTTAGCTCAGAGCAAAGCTGCAGAATCAGAGACCAAGAATTAATTAAATTCTTTGATAAATCCAATTCCCAGATGTTGGGGCAAAGCTCCATCACCTCCCTGGGTTTCCCCAAATGGTTGATTTTCTGCATCCGCACATTAATCACATGCAGCTCATTATATTTCCTAATTAACAAACATAAATAAATTATAAAACAAACTTATTGTCAGTAAAAAATAGACAACCTTTGCTTATCAGTGATTTTATCAAAACCAACCAGCTGCAGAAATGGGGCATTCATTGTCTGCTGTGTGCTCAACAGTTGCTGCTGTAAATGCTTAGCCTCAGTTTCATCATCTTTCTGCCCATACCTAGTGGTGATTGCTGATATGATGCTTTGTCCCAGCTCGATCTTCTCTGGTCTGACAAAGGATCCGGATGTTGCAGATCTGAAATGAAATAAGATTAAAATATAAGTGACAGTTGTGAGCATTCACATAAATACCTGGCTTTAAAATATTCAATATTTTTAACACTACCATCATGTTTACCTCTATCAGAATCATCCCATTCCACCCCTAACCAAGTTCCACTATGACCATCCACTTCTCCTATATACTTTATTGTACCATAAGAGCCTTGGCATTCAACTCTGTCTTCAACATTAGGATCGTTTTCCTTCTTCATAATTAGTAATTGCAAAAAGTGATTCCTTAAATATCTACAAAGAGACTGCTAATTTATCAATGGAAATAACTGCTGCAAGTGGAATTTATTTCAAATTGTTTACCTTTCCGTTTATATTCCAATTTTGACTGACAGATGAGAGATTCCAATTGGATTTTTGAACTGACGTTACCTGGAATTATTATTATTACTATGATTGTGTGTAGGTGTGAATAAATTGTATTGATATATTTTGTATACTACACTTCTACACTTAAGTAAAGTTGGTTGCATATCAATTTAACATTTCTTAATTGGAACCAAATTTACTTTATTATTTAATTAATAAAGTATATCAATAAAGATCAATTGTTGACAAAGTATAAATTTTAATTAATTAACTATTAATTTATTTTATATTTTCAAAAACTACACTAATATATATTTATGTTAATATTTAGAAAATATTAAATATAAATATTGAATATACTTAGAAAATATAATTAATGATAAAAATAGCTTTGGAAATGATTAATAATGAAAACACTATAAATAATTTATAAAAATATATTGAAGTTTTAAATTTGGTGGATGCGCCGGGAGCTAGTGTATAAAATATTGTGATCAACAAATTAAATATTAGTTAAAAACTGATCTAAAGGATAGTTCTTGGATTGGTGATTGTTGCCAACTTGGAACAAATATTTCGGTAAAATTTAACAAAAACATAAAAAAAAGAACCATTAAATTCAATGATAAGTAAGAAACGAAACCTATTAACTCAATTGTTAATAGAGTTACAAAATATTATTGCATCAAATGTCAAGTTGATAATAATTTCATAATTATAATTTGATGATCGGTTAGAATTAAATATAAAGTTTAAAAATTGAAGCAAAGGAAATGTAACAGGTGTCAAATCTCAAGTTTATATAACAATGTTATAATTGAATGAAAAAATCAAACAAAAAAGCCCTAAATTCGATGATAAGTCATAAAGGAAATCTACTATAAATTATTATAGTCATATATTGCATCACCAAATTAAATATAAATTTTAAAATGTTATGTAACTTAACATTTGACACCTGTCACATCTTCTGACAGGTTTAAAATGTTAAGTTGATATAATAATAATGTCATAATTAAAAGAAAGCACACAAACAGAAAATATTGTAAATTCGATGATCATTTCGAAAGGAAACCTACTACAAATTATTATTGTTATTAGTAAATTAAATATAGAAAAATAATGTAAAGAAGATATGACAGGTGTCAAATGTCAACTTGATATAATGATAATAATGTCATAATTGAATGAAAAACCCCAAAAGCTCTAAATTCGATGATCGGTTAGAAAGGAAACCTACAAGTTGATGTCTATATAAACTAAATTGTTATTCCAATTACAAAGTTGTTATTATTTTTTTGTAAGTTCTAAAATATTCAACATTTACATAAAACATCATAAATATTTAAAACTTCGCAACATGTCACAACAAAAAATTGTTTTGCCAAAAGAAAAAAACAGAAATTGTGTCCAAAATTTATTACACTTGTTATTAATATGGGGTTCGCATTTTAAATGGTTTAACGTCTGCTACATGAGAGTATGTACGCTTCTTGGAAATATTTTTGGAGACGTTTATGGGTCTACGCTTTAGACGTAGATTCGTATCGAGATCTTTCCTTGACACGTAACCAGTATGAAAGACCGCAGATGCACACATAAAACAACATGCACACAAATGTAGAAGAAGTAAACATCTCTCTCAAAATGAAATAAAATATCGCACGCACGTTTCGCCTTCGCCTTTTACATCAAATCCAGATATTCTCTAGAGCCATAAATTGAATTTACGTAACATCGTTTTGCAGAAGGCGAGATTTACAAAGCAACTGTTTACAGTAACAACAAACAAGAACCACAAATGTGTAACAAAATTATAAATTTCCAAGGCAATAATGCCTAGTTGTAGTTCTTCATATAAATTAACTTCTACTTTTATATTGTGTGAATGTCTACTGTAATTACATCATTAAATCAAATTAATCGAATAAGAAAAAAAACACTGACAGACATAAATGATTATTAGATGATATTTGGATATAATTTACTATCTTCAGATCAATTTTCTTTGACAAAAGATTACGTTTGGAGGCGTGCGGTTTCTTCAGATTTAATTTTAGATAACGAGAGAAGCGAGAGGAATTAAAAAAAAACAAACTGTTCCATAAGAACACGAAGAAGAGGACGATCAAATTGGTAATTCAATTAAGACGTGATTCCGCATCGCTGCTCAAATTAATGGCATGCACGAATTCAGCATTAACCTTTCTTATTTATATTTCGGTGTTCTTGAGAAGCCGACGCGCAAATTATTTCGAACGGAATTTGGAAGTCGTGCTTCAGTTTTTTTTAGCATATTTTTGTTTGTTTTATATAATTATAGTTGAATATTTATGGATTTTTAATTAACTTAATTATCGATGAATTTATTGCATTGAAATTATTCATGTATTTTTTTTCTATTTCGCACCTTTTTTGCTTTTAATTAATTATGGTTATTTTATTATTATGAAATATAATGAGAAAAAATAATTATTGATTCGTGAATCTGCAGTAAAATAAGTGACTTTTTTCTATACTTACTTGCATACTTGTAAAGAGAAGTGAACTTGTGAAATTAACTATAAGGAACTAAATATAATAACAATTATTATTGAAATTGATAAAAGTGTTTTGTTTCAATGTATTTTTTTTTTAATTTTGCTTATGCAATTGTTTTTTAATTTGACAGACTAATGTCACAAACTAAATGTTACATTTTGAGCACATTATTACAACAACATGATTTTATGAGTCATTTTCAGACCAAGTGTAATTATTATTATAAAAAAATATAAACTTTTTTTTTGTTTTTTTGATATCAACAACAATATAAATGTTGTTTAACACTGGAATGTTTTGATTATCCACATTTTTAGTTACATTTTTTGGTGGTGTACTTTCAATTAACATTGTTAGTCCTAAGGTTTGTATGTACAAGATAATTGGAATTGATATTAAATGAATAATATTGGAAATTATTTGCAAAGTCTAATTGTTTCAAAGAGGAAGTAGAGTAGATAATCCTAGTAGAGTAGTAGAGATATTGTGGTTTTTGATTTTTTCCTTCTTATCGGGACTTTCCAAAGTGCAACCACCATTCGTTAAAGAATTTGTCTCTTGTATTAATTTCTTTTTTTTTTAATTTTTGCTATTACATTTTCATACATGGAAATAGATCAAGTTTATATTTAAGTATAATGACACAAGCTGTCAAATACAAAAATAATAGTTATTTGGTATTCAATTTTCAAAATAATTGTAGGAGAAAAAAGGTAGGAAACCACTGAGCTAGAAAAGAGCTGAAATATGTTTGAAAGTTTATTATTGAAGAATGTAATTATTTTGCAGCTATTTCTGCAGCGAATGAATTAGCAGTTTTCATAATCAAGGTAATACGTTTGTAGGTGTCGGATCGCACAAGGAATTTCAATGTATTCATGCAGATATTTATTTAGTTATAAAATCTTAGAAATTATGTTATATCTGCGAGTTTAAGTAAATTGCTTATATGAAACCATTATGATATGTGTTTGTGTGTAATTAAACTCACATTAGAGATTCATTAAGGAAATGCCCGTCGGACGTGCATTGTATGTTGTGTTGCGTAAAACAAATGTCTGCAGGTGGAGGAAGAGGAGGAGGAGGAGAGCAGGAGTGAATTTAGCGTAGATGTAAATATAATTATCAGCAGGAAATATTGCCCAAATACCAACGTAATTTGACGATACCAAAAGCAGCGGCGACTCGTAAAATACATACAAGAGAAAAATAATGAAAATAATTCAACAAAAATCTAGTAAAATATTGATTATTTGTTAGATTCTTTAAATAAAATTTAAATATTGAATAGAATTCCATACATTTGAAACATTTAAAAAATAAAATAAATTTTAAATATTCAAAAAATATCATCAATTTCCAAAATTTTAAACATTTAAAAATGTCCGTGAAATTCATTTTTTTGTCGTAATAATTTTATTTACAATCTATGTGGTCTCTACGTCCAATTTGTAAATGAAGAGTTTAGCACCTTTAGGAAAATAGTAACAGGTGATGAATCTTGGTTCTATAAGTACAATCCGGAAACCAACCAGCAGTCCATGGTATGGAGCGCAGAAGGTGCAAATCTCCCAATTAAATCAAGAACATAAAAATCAGCAACAAAAGTGATGGTGTCAATTTACTTTACCAGGACAAAAGTGGTAACTGCTATCCCAATGGAAACTAGCCAAACGGTAACTGCTTAGTGGTATACAGAAACTTGCTTACCACAAGTTTTCAAACATTTGTTGGGAAATCAGAAAAAAGGGGAATTTCGTCGCTAATTTTTGCACCACGATAATAACTTTCTTACACTCTCTGGCATTTAAGAAATTCGCCCAGCACCTTACTCTCCAGACCTAGCGTCGTGTGATTTCTAGCTGTTTCCGAAAATTAAAAAAAAAATGAGGAAAAGAGTCCTCAGTTCGAATGAGGAGGTCATTAATGCAGTTAATTTCGAACTTAAAAAGATCCAAAAAGTCGATTTTCAGGAATGTTTTGAAAGATGGCTCTACCGACTTAAGAAATGTATTAAAATAAATCGATATTGTGTTGAGAAATTACAAAAGAATAATAATTAAATATATCAAAATTAATTTATTTTGTTTTGTTTTTTTTCCAGCCAACTAAGCAAACTTTTGTTAGACCTCACGTATTAAAAGTAAATTGTATCGCGATTGACATTAAACGGATAAACTTTACTGGTGGATGTTTACCATTATAATGATTTTGAATAATAATAACAATTACTTAAATCTATATACTAAATCTACTGGTTGCATTAAGTCTATTTGTTGTTTCACTGTTCTCAAGTAGACCAATAGCCAGAACAATAGTATGTGGATCCTCGTATTCTCGACCATATCTATATAGAGGTGTTCGTGTATTTATATATTTTTGATGAACCACGTTGACCTGATTTTGATTTGAATATTTGGATAATTTGTATGTTCATAGCCTAGATATTTGACTTTTGTTGATTTGGGCATATCTTGTCCATTAAGTCTTACAATTGGGCAGGTGTATTTCTTTAGTGTGAATGTGATACACACGGAAC